TTTTTTTTTTTTTTTTTGGTAACACAAAAAAATCTTAAGGTACTTTAGGAATGTTCAACTTCATTTTTTCCCACCTGAGATAAAGAGAATTTAATCAACCACTGGTCTCTTCTTGCTTGTCCTTGTCAGAGCTTCTCCCCCACTCCCGTCCCTTTGCTTTGAAGGTATATTTCTGGATGAGAAGGTTGGTCTAGGTCAGTGGTGGCAAACTTGTAGCACGCGTGCCACAGCCAGCTGTTTGTTATCATTGAAAACTCTAAAAGGTTTGCCGTCACTGGTCCAGGTAATCCCCATGGACCCTTCCAGCTCTGATATTGGCTAGTGGTTGGAGAGAGCACATCCCGCTATTGGTGGACGAGTGGGTTTTCACAGGAGATGTAGGTCATTTTCCGTACAGAGACCTAACATGTGCTGTGTCTTGGTTTGTGTTCTGTGCAGGTTCTCAATAGTGTCACACTGCCGTTTTGCCTGTTACATGCACTCTTACACCTGTGGACATTGCTTAATTTCTAACACACTGGGGAATTTTGCTTTTCCAAGAAATTCCACACTGAAGTCTTTGTAACAGAAATGACTTTCTTTTATTACAAATTATTCATCCATCATATGTCTTAAAATTTTCATTTTCACATGTGTCATTTAAAATAAGAATTTGTTACACAGACTGAACTATTATAATATGCCTTCATGTATTGACTTTATTTTACTGGTAGTTGCTTGTTATCTACAGTTGGCCGCTTTATAACCAGATGTATACACTGTTATCAAAATTTAGCTAAACAGTAATAAAAATCATGTACAAATCTCCAGGTGTACTTTCGATTAGTTGAGTATTTAAAACTTGTAGTCTGCATTTGGACCAAGCATAAGCTTGGCTTTCCCAGAGTCATTTGATTGCTTTCTCAAAACAGCTAAAACCAAAGTAGAAGTACATTGTTGCATTTTAGAATAAGCAGTGGTTTAAAAGAAAGAAAATGCTGACTGTCTTGTTGGGGGGCAGTCGTGGGCTTTGAACAACTCACCTATAGTCTATGTGGTATTTAGACATTTTGGTCTTCACACATATGGTTTGACATTTTGATGTTTTGGGTTACATTATCCTTTGTTGGGTAGAGAGGCAGTGAGTTCCCTAAACTAACTGCTTCACATGTTTATTTAAACTAGAGTCTGGTAATAAAAGCACACCAGGAACAATGAGTGCTGAGGAAGCAACAAAAATTTTGGCAGAAAGGCGCCGTCTTGCTCGGGAACAGAAAGACAAAAAGGAAGAAGAAAGACTCCAGAAAGAAGTGGAACCAAGGTCAGCACAAAGCCTTTCTATTCTCTAGATCTTGGCTAGGGCCCAGAACTTGAAATTTTACTCTCAAAGAACAATTGACTTTTTCTTCATTGAAGACCAGAAATCTTTCATTGCCTTCTAAACAGAGAAAGTAGAGAGAGCATTTCAGGGCTTTGCAAGTGGCCGATTAGAGAGGACACTGCCATCGCCATATGTCATGTGCCATGAAGGTGTGCTATGAGAATGCACAGGGAGTCCAAGTTCGTGTCCAGGGCCCTGTCTCTCAGCAGTAGAGCCTGAGTGATCACAGGACTGTGCTGCTTGCCTTCAGTGGTGTCAGCCTCTTTTTTTATTTTAATGTTTTGTTTTTGTTCTTGTGGTACAGAGATCAAACTCAGGCCCTTGCGTTTGCAAGGCAGGCTGCAGAACCACTGAGCCAAATCCCCAGCCCGAGCCTCTTTTTCTATTTTAAAGACTTGTAACTTTAAGATTTGTAAACCTAGAAACTATACTGTTTTACTTTGGGGGCTTTCCAGTGACTTTTGTGACCCTGAATCATATCAGGCAACTGACTTGCTGCTGGAAGGATGTCCTTTGGGCAGTGAGTCTTAACATACAGCTGTATGCATTCCAACTTGGAAGAGAGGTTCCTTGCTTTTCCATCTGGAGGCTTATTTTATGTTGGGCTAGATAATGTAAATCTCTGTCCCCTGCTGCAAAGAATTCCTCTAGTACTTGCCTTCATTTTCCATTATTAAATGTTCTTTGAAATAATAATTTGCATGTACTTTATATGGGCTTAGAGAAAGGAAAAGAAAAGGGTTATTGCGGTTAGCAAGAAATTGTAACTGGAAGAATATTTATTATTCATTGCCTCATATAAACAGAGCTAATTTAGCATTTGAAAACACTGAACACTGGGACACCATTATACCCTCTTCTAAATTACGTATCATCCCCAAGTGAGATTGAGTGTGAGATGTAAGGCCTGTGGGGTGGTCTCTGTGGCTTTAAAACAGTTAAGTGATTATTTCTCTTGCATGTGTACATAAGATGCAAGGTTGTCCAGGATTTGATAAAAATCTTTTTCTACTCCCATTCCTTTTCACACCCCCATTTAAAAGGGTTAACATTATATCAATCCTATGTAGCAACAACACAGAAAATGAATCTGGTATGTCCATTGTGTTGCTGTGCCCAAGTAGTTTCGTGTACTACTGCAAACTTTATATGGTAATTACTAAGATAAATACCAAGAGGTATTTAGATATACTTTGTGTTACTAGGAAAGCGGCGGATGTGTCAAAGAAGGTGGATGAAGCCCATGTTGAGTTCTCAAAATGTGAAGATAGGCCACAAGAAAAAGAGATTGAAAAGAGCAAAAAATATCAGCCTCAAGAAGACCAGGGAATAATGCAACAGGTTTGCTGGCTTCCCACTTTAGCAATAGATAAGAACCAGCTAATAAAGTTCAGTCGAAACTCAAAGCAGCAATCTGTTTTTGAGTAAATAGATTATCTCCAGCCACCCTCAGCAAAGCCCTAGAATGTTTCACAAGGGCAGCAAACAAACGCAGAAAGCAGCAGGTTATACATTACCACTCCTTTACTTTGGTCAAATAGCCCGGGTCAGTCTCCCTGTGTTGCGATTCTGTGGTGCTGCACACAGCACTCACAGCTGCATCTCACCCTTCATCATGTAAGAAAGCAAGGCATTAGGAGTGCTTCTAAAAGTTTAAAGTCATCAAATTCACCAAGAAGAACGTCTTACCCTTTTAAATTCAAACTGCCAGCTAAATCTCCAAACTGAGATCAGGCCGTGCTCATCTGGCAGTCCTACCGCAGTCCAATTTATGTGCCCAGTGTTAGTGTATCATTCATCAAAACAGGTTATATGCTTCACAAATGACTGTGTGCTCTGGCATTCCTTGGGAAGGAACTGTTCTGAATTCCATCAGTGCTTTTGAGAAACCTAAGATTTTGTTTCCTAAGACATTGCTATGTTACTGGATAGCTCCATAGTCACTCATATACTTTTAAAGTAAAGTAGTCTGCTGTTCATAATGAAAACTTTGACATCCCAAGCCTTTCAGATAACATTTAGCCTAGTTCTGTGCTTTCTAATTAATGCTTTGAAAAATGACAACCTATGACTGGCATATATATGCATCCATATCTATGCATACATACATAGTTAGGTATATACTGAATCAAGAGGTTGCAACTATTTAATTTTTTAAACTAGGGTTATCCGTTTCACTCAGATATATTGAGATGAAAATTTTTTAATCAATTTCCTAGAAAGGGGATGACAGAATAAAAGCTCATGAAGAAGCTGATAAACGCAAGAAGGAACAGGAGAGAATTATGTTACAAAACCTACAAGAACGATTAGAAAGAAAGAAGGTACTTGTTCTCTGTTTTCTGGGTTTTGATTGTGTTGACAATGTTGGGCGTGTGATACCAGAATGTTTTTGAAAATTGCAGATTGGGTGTCTGTTCACCCCCCTGGCTGTTTCCCCACTACCAAGAGACTGACTTCTACAAAGAAGGCTTTGCTCTTACTGAACATGCATACCCTTGGTAGCCATTGCAGCAGTGCCTCTGTATCAAATCTGTGGGGAAAAAAAGCTGCTATGAACAGTATGCCTCCAGCCATAGTAGGGGTTGGTGGAACTTACTTTCTTCTAAACTGGGCTGGAATTTGCAGCATCTGTGGTGCAAAGGAGTGTAGGCCTCTTTGAAAAGCCATCACACAGCCCATGGTAGGGCCACTTTTGTGCAACTCATGTGGCTCATCTACCATATTTCCCCACAAGTAAGACCTGGTCTTATATTAATTTTTGCTCCAGAGGACATTAAGAGGGCTTACTTTTGGGGTTGGCTTATTTTCTCATGTACATCAATCTACTCTACACTTATTTGTGTATTAAAATCTGTATTTATTTAAGTATAGTTATGTCATTTTCTTTTAGAGCATCATAATTCTACAAACCCCAAATTCTGGCCTGAGTTTCTTGCAACTCCAAATCCTGTAGAACCATTGGCCCCGATCTCTCACATCCACCAATAGAGCTGTCCTTAAATGAGCACTTCTTGTGCATGTGGCCTGCTCATGACGCACTGACAGTACAGCTAACGAATTTACCCCATGAATTCTTTACCTAAGTTGCAACCTCCTGCAGGCTGGGCTTCAGAAACTTTCCATTAAGTCAAATGTCCATTGAAGACTTCCGAGACAGGAGTGGCAACAAAAATGATGACAGTTAAGAATGATGGGTCCACACAAAAGCAACAAAAAATTTCAGACAACAAAATTCAGAAAATGTTTATTTCACTCGAGGTCATTAAGTACATCCATTACAACACACAACATACTGAATCATGAAGATTCTTATTAGACTTAATCGTGTGCATTGTGTGCACATGTTATTTGTGTTTTCTTTCTGTACTCTGGCCATTTGGCAGGAAGTCTGGAGTTAATCTGTTTACAAAGGCATTTACCTCTCCTCTAAAGGCACCCCTTGGGTGGTATTTAAAAATACTTAATTTATATTATGTATTTTAAATATTAATTTCAATAGTATTTATATATTATATTATGTATTAATGTTATTTTATAATTCATATGTCCATTGTGTGTTGCAGCAGACATACTAGATGCATCCATCTAGCTGACGATCTTAACTGGGGCTTATTTTGGGGGTAGAGCCTGTATTACAAGCACCCTGAAAAATCATGCTATTTCCCAGTTATGTCTTTTTTCTGGAGAAACACAGTAGGAGCCTGGTCTGGGCCAAGGTGCTATAAGGCCTCCCTATCACTCGATCAGCAACCCTGTGATGGCCAAGGAGCCACAGCTGGCCTCACCTCATAAAGAGGAGAGAATTCTTATCCCACCATAGAATACATCCCTCCTCTGTCTCCTGTCTTCTCTTTTTAATAACAAAAACTCTTGACTATATGGTACCATTGAGGCACCTTATTTTCATTAAAATCAGCTTCAGGAATAATCTGCTAAGACTAAAATTCTTTTAAAAGCTCTAATTGATTTTCAATAATGCATGATTAGTCTACGGGGATGAATTTCCACGTCTGTGAAAACAGGAATGAGAACTTGGCATTTGCGTGACTGTGTTATGATAACAAGTACAACTATTGTCATTCATGGCATTTTATAGTGGAAACCAGGATGGGAAGAGGGGAGTCAGCTGCCACACCAAGCCTTTTGTTGATTTAGTCTGTAGCTTTAAAGTGTTTGTGGACATTGTTTGCCTCTGTGAAAAGGAGATATTATGCTTCAGAACCACTGGTTTTAATCTCTTTTTATATTTGAATTTTTATTTCCTTTAAATAGAGAATTGAAGAAATAATGAAGCGGACGAGGAAGACAGATGTAAATGCCTCCAAGGTAGTTTCCACTCCTACAAGTAGTGCATAAGAATTCCTTGTTTCATGTTCTTGACAACTTTCCACTTTTGCCAATCTGGTGGTAAAGAAATAAAGTATCACATTCACATTTCTGTGATGGTTAAAGAGATAGAGCGTGTTTTATATCTCTAGATAGCTTTCCTATTTTCTCTTGTGTGAAATGCTTGTTGGTCTTTTTGCCCAGAACTTTTGGGCTGATTTGTCTTTTGATTTTTTTGTAGCTGTTTGAATATTCTAAACTCTGCTGCTTTTTTATTGTTTGATGTAGGCAGCTTCTTTTGATGTATGGCTTATCTTGTCTTATTGTCATCTTCTGCTGGATAGAAGTTCCTAATGTTAATTCTGCTGAATTTTGTCAGTATTTTCTGGTACGAAGTTGAATGCTTTTTCATATACTTACTAGTCTTTTGGAGATTCACTTTAGTAACATGCCTTTTCAACTCACTGGCCCATTTTCTTACCCTTTTTCTTATTGATTGTAGGAATTTTTACCTACTTTGGCTAGGAATCCTTTCATACATATATTGCAGGAATCATCTCCCATGCTATATAAGAGCTGATCAAGTGATACGGTGTGTGTTTAAATTTTAGAGTTTATCACATTAACAGATACATTACTGATAATCCCCCTCAAAACACTGTCCCTTGTTTCAAACACACTTAATCCCATCATTCTTGCCACTTTCTGAGGCAGTTCTAGAAGTCCAAAAATGTGACCAAAAAATAAGGTGAGTGCTACTGCCAAGTGCCAGTGGAAAGCCAGGCTGAAAAAAAGCATTACAGCGTGTCCTCATCCACCTGGTTCACCACATCTGGCACCTTGCAACGTGAGGCTCTTCCCTAAAGTCAAAAGAGCCATGAAGGTAAGTGTTTTGAATCAGTTCAGGACAGTGAGACAGCCACACAGCACAACTAAAGACACTCATTAAAGAGTGGCAAAAATAATGGACTAAGTGTGTTTGAAAGGGGGACGGGGGTATTTTGAAGGAGATTAATGGCAAAGTGTCTCTCTTACTATAATAATTATTTTTTCATTTAAACATTCACTCTCTTTTCTGATCACACCACATAGTTTGCCTCATTCTCTTGATATCTTAATGAATCAGTGTTTATCATTTCAGTGAGTTCAGATTTATCCATTTTTTTTTCTTTATGGTGAATGTTTCTTGTATCTTTTTCAGTTTTTACTTTCTCCAATATCATATCTTTTTTTTTTTTTTTGGTACTGGGGGTCGAACTCAGGTCCTTGTGCTTGTGAGGCAAGTGGCGGAACCACTGAGCTAAAATCCCCAGACTATATCATGTCTTTTGATGGAACCCATGCATATAACATGTTCACAGTAGGGACATAATTTGTATATCTTGTTGCTGGAAGGCTCTGATTTACTGATAAAAATAAATTTATTGATTATTCCAATAAAGTTTAATTGGTATGAATAGTATTTATATTTGGGCAGTAATTATTCAAATTCAAGCAACTAGATTTGGTCCATTTATAGACTTTTTATTCATTTTATAGTAAAAAGACTGATGAAAGTGATTAGATCTATTTGTACCACCAGTGGTACAAGCTGTATAATGAGACCTCTAGTGGTTTAAACTGGCAGGAATGTGTTAGGCCCTTTTTCCTCCAGATTTGGTGTTCTTTTCATTCTTTCTTACAAAACTGTTATTTTGCTGTTTACAATTGTCCTTTTCTGCTCATTCATACCATTAAGTAGCATGAGAATGTAGACCAGGCATGTGAGTTCTGAAAAGTGCTGGCAGTCTCTATCTCCAAAGTTCAGTCAGTTCACTGGCCCAGGAAGTTTCACCTCAAGCAGCAGCCAAGAACTCTTTAGCTCTTCACCGACTCGTCAAACATTGGCTTAGTTGGGATCCCGAGCAGGGAGAGGACAGATGGCAGTCCAAAGCGGGGGCGCCTGAACCCTCACTCAGGGAGAGCCTTCATTCTTGACTATCTTTCCGTAGCTGAAAGACCCAGCTAAGGCCCCCTGCCCCTGTCCCCTGTAGATTCTTGGGGCCAGTTAAAGAGGTGATTTTTTTAAAACCTTTTATTGAAAAGTCAACCATCAGTCCAGTCTTAAAATCAGGCTTCTTTGAAATTCTTAGCCAGGATGATTGAAAATTAGTTATAATAATGATTTTCTTTTTGTAACCGTAGGCTGTGGAAAGACGGGGCAATGACACAGCTGAAGAAGATGAGGCCGATGATGAGGAGACAGAAAGTGATGAGGACTCCCTTGATGACATGTTTACATCAGGTTTGCTTGTTCCCGCTGCTTGTGTTCGTCACCATTCAGGGGCTGGACTGCCTAGCTTCATGTCCAAGGGCTCTTCCACTTGTGAGCTGTGTGGTGTTGGGCAGGTCAGAAGGGAAGTTAATGTTGTCTTCCTCCTAGGGCAGGCGTGAGATTTTAATGAGCTAAATCTGAGTAATACTAAGCATAATATCTAACGTAGTAAACTCTCAGTAAATATCAGCTGCTACTGCTGCTGTTCCCTTACAGGTCAAACCAATAGACTCTAGGTGGCTGTCTTTCTCAGCTGAATGTGAGGATTGCTGGCATTTCTCAGCTCAGGGCCTCAGAAGGCATCTGTGATTGACTACAGGTAGAATGCCACTTTGTGCTTCCTTAAGAAAAATTGAAATCATGTCATGGTACAGGTGCCCTCCAAAATATATTGTGAGTAGGAAATAGAACAGCAGTAGTTGGCATATCCATCCATACTTAGCCTGCAAGCAGACAGTGGACAGGTAAGGAAGGTGTCATATAAGGTGTTAGAGATAAAGAGCCACGGCCCTCAGCCTCAAGGATCCATAGCCAGTGGGAGAAAAACACACGAGCAGGCAGAGGTGGGGCCCGTGACTGGGTCAGGAGAAGTTCAGTCAGCGTGCAGTGGGGACAGAGCAGCAGGCGCCTCTGGGTCTGTCTCTGTGCATCCTGGCCCCGCTCCCCATAATGCCTCTGGCCTGCCATATCCTACCTCAGTCAGACGCCCCATCTTATCAGGATCGCATTCTTGACTTTTCCTTGTATTGTTGAAACTCCAATTTTAATTGTTTCTTTTTCTTCTGTAGGCATCGGAAATGGTGGAGATTCATCTACCAAACTCACAATGCCTTATAAAAATGACACAAGAGTGCCTCAAAAGCAGACGGTTTTACGGGCTGAAACTGGCAAGTTAGATAAGGAGCAGACAGCATACTTCAATGGTGATGTGAAAACCTTCAGACAGGAGGACACGACAGACTCTTCGAATGATGCAAAAGGCTCAGGGTGAGTCACTTGCCACCTTATTTACCTGAATAAACTTGGAGGGTTATGAATAACATTGTTAGAAAGTTATGCAGGATTGTATTATGTATTGAGCGCTTAGTTTACACATTCCAAACACTGCCAAACATTGACAACAGAAACAGACTAATCCCCAGTAGCCTTGTCAGGTTTTTAGAGGTAAGCAGACAGGTTTAAAGCAGCCAAGGACCCGACATCTCACTGTTAAAGGCCAGAGCCCAAATTCAAACCCAGACTTACCTGGCTCCAGACTATTTTTATTCACATGGTGAATGTTTCATAAAATCAGGGAAGAGGGACATGTGTGGAGTGACTGCTGTAAATCAGCCATTTTACTTTACCCTTTCTGTGGTACTGGCCTTCACACTCATATATGTCCAGCCCTTTTTTATTTTTCATTTTGCGATGGGATCTCAGAGTCACTAAGTTGTCCAGGGATTGCTGGTGTACAGCACCATGCCTGGCTGCATTGCCTATCTTATGTCTCACTGCAGCTCTGAGATACATCCTCCTTTCACATATGGAGAAACGGGGTCAGGGCTAGCTCAGGAGAACAGGGACAGTTTCTTGAAAGAAAACACTGCTCAGGAAACTGCCTGAAAAGACACTAGGCCACAAGATCCATGGGCATAGGAGTGTGCCAAGAACCTTGGTGCCGGTGCCGGTGCCAGTGTGGAAAGCCCCGGAGGTGGCAGTCTTGCACCAGTTCTCAAACTACCTCACTGGCCACACTTGACAAACTTGAAGCAGGGGACCAGGGTTCCTGGTACCCTGTGTTCTTGGCTACTCTTTGGCCCTGATGCTTTCATGGTTCCCTAGGGCTTTCTAGAATCAAGTAGGCTCTGTAAGCCCCAGGGTCCTTTCCAGCCTTCCCAATCTAGGATTGGGAAAGCTCATTTATACCCCAGGTAACTATTATAAATTAATGAAAAGTTAAAGTCTTTCTCAGGCAGATCCTTGGAATTGGAATAATCAGAGTTCTAATGAAAATGTCTCTTTCCAGACCATCTACCAAAAGAGCATCCATTCACACAGGGAAATCCAGCAAAGTGAGGGAAGCCACCACCAGCACCCTCTCCACCGAGAGTGTCACCACAAATCAGGAGTGGATTTGTGACCAGGTTTTTGACTTTGCTAGTCACAGCACTGAGTCACCTGGCCCCGATAGCACTCCTGATAGCTCCAGCCATAGTCTGAGGGATTCCATGGCATCTCAGCAAAGTCCTCCAACACCTTCAGACTCTGAGGATAGGAACGAGTCTGTCTGTGCTCAGTCTGGTAAGGCCTCAGACCTTCTTCACTCTGCCTCAGCCCTCTCCTGCTTCCAGCTGTTCCACGGCAGCCTTTGGAACAGGCATAGACAGTCCCCAGTGTGCAGGAATCGTTTAGAAGAACTTTCCATTAAGTGTTTTATCATCAAAGCGCACACTTAATGGAGCAACATTTGTAAATGGTTACCGTACTGTAAGGTATTTTGATAAAATTAATTAGTAATAGTTATATTTATGTGAAACACTGGGCTGTTTGCACAGCTCCAACTATGCATGCTCAAAATGTGTAATGATTGTTACTTTGAAAAAATAAAAAAGAAGAACCTTTCATAAACATGTTCACTACGGGGCTGTAATTCGTGTCTCACTGTGAGGTAGCTTGAACCACCGGTGGTACCTGCATGGGTGGCTTTTTAAGAATTTTATTAATAAAAAGACTAATACAAGTGCTTAGATCCATTTGTACCACTCGTGGTACAAGCTCCCAATGGCACAGTCACGCCTCAGCCACCAGTGGTTCAAGCCGGCAGGAATGTGTTTTTACGTTTGAGTAGATATCTTGAGTCTAGTTTTTATTTCTCCCATTTCTTGCCAGATATAAAAAAATTAATTCCTTTCAAAATACAGGTTCCCCTGGGCTCCTAACCCACAGCCTGCTCAACAAACGCATAGATCCTCCTTTAGGGCCAAGGGCTAGGGAAGTCTTTGGAATTACTCCCTCATTCTGTGTTTTTAAAACCAAAGGCCATTGCTTTTCTGTCCTTGACAAGGTTTCTTTGAAGGAAAAACTTACACGATAGTACTAAGGGTTGAACCTAGGGTCTTTGTCCTGAACTGTATCCTTAGACTTTTTTTTTTGTTTTTTTATTTTTTGAGACAAGGTCTTGCAAGTCGTGTAGGCTGGGCTCAAACTTGAGATCCTTCTGCCTCAGCCTCCTGGAGTCACCACATAGGCCATCTCTTTGAAATTAAGTGATTTCAAAGCGTCCTTTAGGGGTTGAGGAGGCGGGGGACATTTATAATACAACCAGCCTGTCAGCAAGTCAGGGGTCTGCTGAATGTCTTAGGCCTGCCCCAAAGGGAGGCCAGGGTTGCTGTGAGACCCCCAGTATCTTGCCTAATCTCTCTTTTCCTTTTCCCTCTGGTTAGATGTGTAAACCTCATGTGGCCTGCGACAATGATTCATCTTCCACTCTAGATAAACTTCCCACGCCCATGTCTCAGAATTCTCCTGCTTCATGCTTGAACTCTGCAAAGGAAATGACCATTAAAAACACAAGGAAACAAGACATCCGAAGGCCACCTTACCATCTGTCCTAGAAGATACCCATATCATCTCATTTTCTTCTGAGTTCTGAGTAAAAAGACTTCTTTGTTTTTCTGGAAAAATTCCCATTGTCTCTCCTGTGTTTTCCTCCCAACATGTGCGCTTGAGTGTGTACCCAGAACGTTTTTGTGAATAACAAGTTTTAAAAGAGTTCTGTTGAAGGGACAATGCTCTTTTCGGTGTATTTTTAAAATCTTTGTATTTCTTCTGTTTAACAATAATAGCAGTTTTAACAACAGGAAGCTCATTTTGGTCTTGTTAAGAACCAAACAGGTTCTGTGAGGCTCAGGATTGCTCACAAGAGGCGTGTCAGAGTGTTGCTAATACAGATACTGAAGGTTGCATAATATAGTAACATTTCCCCGGGCCACATATGCCTGTTTCATTCTACTGTCTTTAGTGCCCCACAGCCATACCCCCAAATGCTGGGTGTCCTGAAGTCCCCACGGTGCAACAGCATGTGTCACTACCATCAGTACAGCATTCCCTTTGGAAATACATACTGGGATTTCACTACAAAAATAGGAATCATTTTTGTTATGTACATAAGCAGTATTTAGCTGCTGACTCCTGGCGGTGTTGAATTCCCCTAAAGGTTGAACATTCATCACCTTTTCCTGCGTGTTCTCCTCAGTCCTGTCGTCCTCAGCATGCACTCAGGCTTGGGATAACTAGCCAAAATATGCTTGCTTTTCCGTCAGCCCTGGCTGCAAGTGAGGTCGGGGCAGTGTTACTCCTCTGTCCCTGTGAGAAGCACGTGCATGTTATGTACACAACGTACGTAAGAACACACACACACACACACACACACACACGAGACAAAGGATTCCATAAAGCTGGAATAATGCAGATCCCTTGTCCTTATGCTAATGAGTTTTATAGTGCTGACTCACAGTTTGAAGTCGACCAATTATTCCTTTTGACCACCAGTCTTGGATTTGTAAAAGGAGGTAATTATTCTTTCTAATCCCTTGTTGTTTGCTGCTTTGAGTACTGTACCTTTGTTATAGATTAGGGCAGGATGCCTTAAGTTTAAAAACTATTTTTATACACTAGCTTTCATATATAAGGCAGAGACAATCACCCTAAAAATGAAGTTCTGATGTTTTCTCGCCGAGATGACCCGTGTTGAAATGCTGTTACAGCTCTCTGTGAATGTGTGCTCTATGAAATAAACTTGCAGATCAAACCCATTTTGTTTCTTTTGGATGCTAAGAAATACACGGGTAGTGGTATAAATGGGGCATCCCTTGCTGACTAACTCTGAGCACAGGCAACCGGAACCCTCAGTAAGCAGAAAACAGGCCCCCCAAGTCCCCTCTTCGTGCAGTTGGTGATATGGAGGAGTTCTACTTCGGGACAGTAAGGCACCCGTTTCAAACTCTACTCTTCTCCCTTACAACTCTTCCGTACTTGCTATTCTTCTGGTCGCTCTCACTTACAGTCTCATGTTAAAGTACCTTTTTATTGTGGTAAAAATTCATATAATAGTCACCATTTTTTTTTCTTCCCTTTCCCCGTTTTTTCTTTGAGATGGGGTCTGGCTGTGTTCCCTAGACTGGCCTTGAACTCTTTGGCTGCAGCGATCCTCCTGCCTCAGCCTTCCACATAACGGGCTATAGGTGTGTGCTACCATACCTGACCGAGGGTCACCATTTTAACCAGAGTACATTTACAGGTTGCACAACCATCCCCCACTGTCTAGTTTTAGAACCCATCCCCTCCCCAGCCCTTTTAAACCTTGAATGTGGCACTTGCCTCAGATGAGGAAAACCCACCTGATTTTTTTTCCTCACATTTCAATGTCTGTCTGCACCTGGGCAGTTTGTGTGCTTTCTTTTTTGCCCACAGTACTGGGAATCGAACCAAGGATGCTCTACCACTGAGCTCTATCCCCAGCCATTTTTTATTTGGAGTCAGGATCTAAGTTTCCCAGGCTGCCCTTGAAGTTGCAAGTCCTCTTTTCTCAGCCCGCCTCAGCTGGGATTACAGGCAGGCCCCACGGGCCCAGCAATGTGCTCGTTTGTATAACCATTTCTTCATGACACTATTGTGACTTGGAATGGCATGACAGATGTTCTGATGTACCTGTAAATGTTTCGTGTCCAATCTTAAATCATGCTTTAACCACTAGGTTTTAGTTATAGTAAGACCAGAAGTGTGTTTATCCCTGCATCGGAATCAACATAAGCTGGACCCATCCCATTCCTGCCAAAGGCCACACCTCCATGGATGTCATCTGCACTCGGAGCCCTTGCCTGCCAAGTCTGCCATCAGGTCCCTTGGTCTACCCTTGATTAGAGTTTCTGTCACGACTCCAATGGCACGGGCAGAATCCTTAGCCTTCCTGTCCCCTACCCGACCCTGTGATCCCCTCACATTTCCCTTCCTCTCTGGATACTTGGGGTGTCCTCCTCCCTGCAGGACAGATCCCTGGCCACTACAAGGAGATTCTTCTTCTGAACAGCATGTTTCCAACACCTGTGTCATTAAGGACACATGTGACAGCTGCAATGCCCAGAAACCCTGCTACCCGGGACCCTGAAGACCTGAATCCTAGCCAAGCGGGCTGCTGGCTGGGTCTTTGTGACTTTGTGTATGCTGCCTACCCATCTCTGAGCCTTGCTCCTCTCAAATGAGGAGGCTCTACTACAATTCCTGCAGGCCCTGTCACTTCTGCAATTCTCACCCTTCCCAGACGCCACTCACTGGCCAGGACAAGGGCACTGGGAGACGCCAAACAGCAGCTCATCCCAGGGAGCTGAGTTTGGAAGTGACAACTGGCCCCTTTCATCTCAGCAGGGCTCCATCTGTGTACTTTTGGTGCCCCCCACCACCTGGTTGGCTGGAGTCAGCCCCAGCTCTCACTCCCAGCGGTCCAGGGACAGTGTCCCCAAGTAGGTCCTGCTCTCTCCCCTGACTGTTCCAACTGAGTCACAGTAACAGTCTGGGTCATACATACGACATGCTGGCTGCTTCAGAAGCATTGTAATGATGGGAGTTCATTTTTATCGACGAGCTCATTATTGTTTGTGGAAATGGGCATTTGTCACACAACTGGAGAGAGGCATGGCTGGTATTGAAACTCAGGTCTGTTCCACCCTGCCTTTGTTTGGCAGCCACACATCACATGACCTATAGGGTAGGTCAGACACTACCAGAACAGTGTCTTCGGAACTGGGGACAAAATCCTTGCCAATGTTGATTGAACACTTAAAGTGACATTTTACAGCTGAAGAAACAATCTCGGGTAAGTTGCCCAAGGTCTCAAGGTTTCATTCCTAGAGAATGGCAGAGTAGCCAGATTTGAACCTGGGCAGTCTGGCTCCAGACACCACTGTTAGCCACGTGTTACTAAGTTCTTGAGATCCTGATCCCCTTCAAGGGAGAAAGTGCTTCACTGCTGGTGATACAGTAATGAAATCACCCTCATTCCTCCTGAACGTTATGGTTGTCACTCACCAAACACATATGCCTTCTAAAGCCACAAGTACCACACCTGACAACTTTCCTCACTGAAATACAAAAGATGCACTCAGGGTCCAGCCGAGTGAGCTCAGGCAAACTTCTTAACCTCTTTGAACTTCCATCGTCTCACCCAGAAGAATGGGACCAATCCCTTAGATCCAATGTGGAGGAGGGGTTTGCTTCTGGCAGCACTGAAGTGTTAAGGGCGGGCATGAATGACAAGTAACAGTTATAGGCAGATGCCTGATGGGCCTGTCTCCTGGGCAGGAAAGGTGGTGGGGGCCACCCATTGGGAACATGTGGCAGGCTGTGGAGTGGTGGTAGTGGGAATGTTAGGCAGTGTGGCTTTTCCTCAACAGAGCTCAGGCCACAGGCTCAGGTTTCGCAAGCCAATTGCCACAGAAGCACCAAGGGCTGGCAAAACTGTGAAGTGGCTTGAGGCATAGGATAGATCTAGGGAACGCCTAGTGGGAAGGGGCAGGGAAGACAGCTAGGGGGCCTGGAGTGAAAGAGCAGCGCTGCAGTGAGTCAGCTCCCAGGAGTGAAGGTGCAGTGTACAGGAGGGCGAGTCTCGGTGTGTAGGGCCCACCCAGGGGAGCGCTGCAGAGGGTGCTGAGGTACAGCCAGAAGCCAGGTGCCATATCAAGGGGGGCCACCCCCTCTGCTCCTTTCCTTGCTGCCACCTCAGGAGCCTGCTCCCTGGGCAAGCAGGGGGGACAGTTGCTCTCAAGAACCCAGCTGGGGACTTAGCTCATTGTTTCTGCTGCTTGCCTCACAAGCACAAAATTCCAAATTCAATCCCTAGTGCCAAAAAAAAACAAAAAAAAACAAAAAAAAAACCAAGCACACACACACAAAAACCCACCACCCTGCTCCCCGTTCACCCCTACACACTGGGTACTCATTGGTTTAAAGGTTTTAACAGCTCATTTTTGTAGAGGAACACATCTTAAGGGGATGTCCCATGTTCTTATCAATGCTCATGATCGTGGCAAGGCCCTGGATTCAATCCCTGGGTGGGAGAATCTCTAAACAAAAAGCTCATAGCTCAGTTCCCCACTGTCGGGCTTCAATTCCCAAGAGCATAAATGTTAGCACCCAAGGGGCTCTGCCCCAGCCAAAAGGGCCCACTGAAGCCTGACACCCTCCTCTCCTTCAACTAAGCCCTCAGCCAAGATGTTCTGATGAGGTGCCTTAAACAGCGTGGGGCTCCTGTCCCAGCAGAAGAGCTCTGTCACCTATTGCCCTGGGCCTCCTAGGCCACCTGGAAGTGACAAGTGGGGGTGGGGTAAATGTCCCAAGAGCAGGAGCCTCAGGTAAGCAAATGAAATGGCTACATGGTGGTCTAGGAGCTGTGTGCCAGACCAGCTCCCTCTGCCCCACACCTCCCCAGCTTCCACCTAACTGGAGAGCTGAGACCAGAGCACAAGGAGCGGCAAGGGTCTCTTGGGGCAGAGTACCGGTGGTCACCCTCTCCCAGGTGAGCATACAGTAGTGCTCGACATGAATCCAGAGTCCGGGCTCCGAGCAAATAGGGCCCATGAGGACTTCTCAGCAACATGCTTTTTAAAGGGATGTACAAGTCTGGGATATGCTATCTTGGTCAGAGTGGACACCGTTATTCCTTAACCTGGATCAAAGCTGTGTTATAGGTCTGTCTTATTTACAGTGCCTACGTTCTGTGTGATTGCACTGAACTCAGCATATCCTTGAGTTAGAGAAAAAAGCCACTCAGGTTTCAGGGTTAGCAGTATCACCTTATGGCTTTATTCTGGGCAGAATACAAACACAAGAGGCAAGTTATTTCTATGATGCTTTATTTCTGTAAGGATACACTGAAACATTAGATGAAAGGAGCTAATGACAAAATGTAGAAATGAGGCATTGGCTTCTATAACCACTCCTATGAGAACGTTAATATGTACTATCATAACATGTTTACTTTGGATATTGTCTTGTGATAGTATGCAATATAATAATGGAGAACACAGTAAGTAGGTGACCCTGCATCTCAGGGAAGCAGGAGGTGGAAATCCGGTTCTGCTTGTGAGGACGGTGGCCTCCCCACTTCCCCAGAGAGCCAGCTGAGCTCCTGAGAAGTCCCAGGAATCACAACAGAAGGGACTGTGCAGCACTCTTGAGCACAGAGACGAAGAGCAGACAACTACATGTTACAAGGGATTCAACTCGTCACGGTTTCAAAATGTCAGCTCCACATTAATGACAGCCCTGCGCCCGCTCAGCTACCCCTCTAGAGTTTTACAGTCACTTCTGAAGGATGAATCTCAACACTGCAGGACTGAGGGGGCCCCAAATATTGTCATGCAAGTTTCCAAACCCATAAACTATTTTACTATTAATTAAAACAAAAGTATCATTAATTAAAAAAATAAAAAAGACAGCAGGGTTAGTTTTGTTAAGCTTCCACAAGTATTCGCTGTGATGCTGCTACTCTGAAACAGGCTCATTTTCTCAGATCTGCTCACACGTTCCCAATCACCTGTATGTCCCATGCTGTGAAGCAGGAACGCTCAGAATTCACACCACACAGGGAAATCAAACATCAGTGTGGGTAAAATGGTCAGTTGAGAATTACAGCTAAGTTCAATTGTTAATTTTCTGAAAATTCTTGTTAGTCATGTAAAAGCACAAAAGAACAGAAGGAAGGTCAGGATTAATGAGGAAGCTAAACCATGCATTCCAGCAAGTTCTTTTCCTGCCCACAGAAGAGGGTGGGCAGTGAGTTGGAGCAGCCGCTGCAACTCTCGCAAGTCTTCTAACTACATGGTAGGTCCCAGCTGAGCCACAAAAGGCGCCTCAGTGGGGGCTTTGTCACTTATGCTTCTTGGTTACATCATGAAGTGGCTAAATGGTTAGCACTTTTCTGCTCTATGATAAACATGCAGAAGAGTCAATCTACCTAAGGTTTTGTTTCTTCATTGCAGCTATAGAGAAATTAACTTTGCCGCAAGTTTGCTTTTGGCTAAATACTAATACGATCACTGTGTGCCCTTACTTGAGTAATACTGTAAAATGGGAGAAAAGACAGAAGGAACAACTTTAAGAGGTGAAAGGCCACTCTTGTCCTATTCATGGTGTAGGGCAGAGAGAGCAAGGACACAAAGAACATGATGCAAATTCCATTTTACAGGACAGGAGCCCCTGTCACTTTACAGCTTTTTGGCACAGTCAGGGCAATACACCTGCTCCTGGTGATAAACAAAGCGCTTGTTGGCCAGATTCACGGAGCATTTTTTGCAGTGGAAGCAGTAGTCGTGCCAGGATTGTCCTTCATAGGCCACCACACTGGAGCCTTTACCAAACCCTGTGGAAAAACAAAAGAAAACGAGAGACAGTTGAATGAATACAAGCGAGGAAGCTGCGATTCAGAGATAAAATGACGACTTGCCCCATTCAGAGCCAACAAGCCACAGAGGCAATGTCCGCCTGGCTCGCAGTGCCCCCCTCCACCACGCACTGTCCCCCATGCTGCCACTGTGCCCCATGCTGCCGCAACCCTGCTACGGCTCTCAATGCCCTGAGAGGATGCCGGAGCTCAGCCAAGGGCTTCTCTGATTTAAGGAACCCACATTCCCACGCCACCACTATCACCCTGTGATGCGCACAGACCTCCCACCACAACCAGTTTCTTTGATTTAGGTCAAGGCCATGGCATCAAAGTGGCCACCAGGAGGCAAACTTGGGCTGTTCGTGAGGTCTGCACTTACCGGGCCTCGAGGAGCTGCTAAGCTTCGATTTTTTCTATAAAGAACCACCACCCATGAGGGACAAGTCCTTTCTCCACCCGGATGCCTGCCCCGGAGGTTGGCGCTGGGAAACAGGGTGAGAGGCAAGCGTTTCCCGTGGCACACTGGGGGCTTCCTAGCTTTAGAGACTGGGTGGCTCACTCTTGACACAGTCCTTTTCCCTGAGGATGGCAAAAGTCTTCTCAAATGTACATTTCAAGGCTCCCCGGGGAAATGGGAAAGTTGGAGGCAGGGGAAAGGAAAGGGCCCAGGGCACGTGGATCGCGGCCGCGAGATGAGGAATGAAGTGATTAGCTTTGCTTCTGATCACAAAAATAAATAAAAAAACAAAACAAAAACCAAAAAAACCCTGCCAGCAGGCACCTCTGCACTAGCCTCCAGCTACGGGTTGTTATAATACCAGGTTATTGCTCTCCAGGCCTCCCTGCCCTCCCCGGCCCTCACCCTCTC